GTAAGATGTGGCCACTAGAATAGCAACAAGTCAATTCCTTTTGAGAGTTAATTGTGTTATGTGAAATGGATTGGAGATCATTGATGCATAGGAAAAGGTATTCATGAGCTACAGTTTTTATGAGTCTTCTAGGTAAGGTTTTATCTCCTGTCTGCTTATTTTTTTTTAATGTATGTATTTTTACAGGGCTCAGGGAGCGTACATAAAACTGACAGAGCCCTCATATAATGAATGCTGAATATAATACTCAGGAGTCCACATATCTCAGGAGAAGATAACTGCAAAGTAACAGTGCTCTGGACTTTGTCCTAAAGGTCATGAAATTAAGTCTGGAAAATTGCTATTCTCTTCCCTTGCTTATAAGTTCAAGATCTTAACTGGAGGGTGTGTGAACTGCTTCTATTCATCAATCTGCCTAATCACCACTAAAATAATTTTGGTATGGAAATGACAGAGCATAGGAGAAAATGAAAACCCAAGATGAAAAAAGCAGGTGCTTGCCTTCTGTAACAGCTTTACCTTGAAATAAGAATGTGGTAGAAGCTAAATTATGTTCACATGATGGAACAATGATGACTTTTTTTTAGTAAAATGGTAAAATAAGGCAAAGGGAGAAAGAATGATTTGCCCAAAAGGCCTTGAGAAAAGTAAGGATATGACCCAGCTGTTTAGGGTGTTCAACAAACTTTTCAAGCCAGTAAGTATACTTTGTTCTAAATTATTTACTTAAGACAATTGATTGACTTTGTGATGAACATTTTAAGAAACAAGAAACTTGGAGAAATGGTTCACACCTAGGCCATGAAAGAAAATTACCCTTATTTTCTTCCCCAAATCCAGTTTCATTAGAAATCTAATTTTTTTTGAAATACCTTTTTATTGATGCCATTCACTTTTTTATCACCAAAATTTTGCCTCTTTTTCCCCTCTTAGAGAGCCATGCCAGGTAATAAATAACATTTTTAAAGACAAAAAAAAGAGAAAAAGAATAGAAAAATCAGTAACGCTAGTCAATATATCACAAAAGTCTAAAAAGAGGTGAAATATACTATACTAATATTCAAGAACCTGCAACCTCTGGGGATAGAAAGAAGGTGGCAAGATATCTTCTTATATCTCCTTTGGAGCCATGTTTATTTTTGAAATTTTGCAATATTAACTTTTAATTTGTTTGTGGCTTGTGGTTTTTCTTTCCATTTATATTGTTGTAGTCATTGTGTATAGTGTTATGTTGTCTCTGTTTCACTCGGAATAAGTTCACATAGATCTTTCCATGCATCACTGTTTTTCATCATGTTCATCATTTTTTAGAGCACAATCATATTCCATTATATTCGTGTACCACAATTTATTTAGCCATTCCTCTATCAATGAATGTTCACTTTGTTTCCAGTTGTTTGCCATCACAAAAAGTGCCGCTTGCCGCTACAAATATTTTGGTGTATATGGTGACTAGGTCAAAAGGAATAGACATTTCAGTTATTTTATTTTCCAATGCTTGGTTTTGCTGTGTGTATACAGGTTTTTTTTTATTAATTTATTTTGATTTATCAGCAATCACTTCCATAAACTTTTGAGTTTTAAATTTTTCTCCCTCTCCCTCCCACCCTCCCTCCCCAAGATGGCATGCCATCTGATATAGGCTATTCATTCCAATTAAACATATTTTCACATTAGTGATGTTGTAAGGAAAAATTAGAACCAATAGGAAGAACCATCAGAAAGAGGAAAAAAAACAAAACAGAAGAAAAAATAGCAAATAGCATGCTTCGATCTGCATTCAAACTCCATCATTCTTTCTCTGGATATGGATAGCGTTTTCCATCATGAGGCCTTTGGAGATGTCTTAGATCCTTGCATTGCTGAGAAGGGCTAAGTCTATCAATATTAGTCATCACTCAACTTGACTGTTACTGTGTACAACATTCTCCTGATTCTGCTTACTTTATTCAGCATCAGACCATACAAGTCTTTCCAGGCTTTTCTGAAGTCCCCCTGCTCATCGTTTCTTATAGCAAAATAATATTCCATTACATTCATATACCACAACTTGTTCAGCCATTCCCCAATTGATGGGCATTCCTTCAATTTCCAGTTCTTTGCCACCACAAAAAGAGCTGCTATAAGTATTTTTGTACACGTGAGCCCTTTTCCCATTTGTATAATCTCTTTGGGATACAGCCCTAGCAGTGCTATTACTGGGCCAAAGGGTAATGCACATTTTTATAACCATTTGGGCTTAGTTCCAAATTACTCTCCAAAATGGTTAGATCATTTCACAACTCCCCCAACAATGCATTAGTGTTCCAATTGTCCCACATCTTCTCCAACATTTATCATTTTCCTGTTTTGTCATGTTGGCCAATCTGATAGGTGTGATGTAGTACCTCAGAGTTGTTTTGATTTGCATTTCTCTAATGAATATGATTTAGAGCATTTTTATATGACTATAGAAGGCTTTAATTTCTTCATCTGAGAGCTGCCTGTTCATATCCTTTGACCATTTATCAATTGGGGAATGACTTGTGTTCTTATAAATTCGACTTAATTCTCTATATATTTTAGAAATAAGGCCCTTATCAGAGATACTGGTTATAAAATTTTTTTCCCAAGTTTCTACTTTCCTTCTTTTTTTTTACCTTCTTTTTATTTTAGGCAATTGGGATTAAGTGACTTGCCCAGGGTCACACAGCTAGTAGGTGTCAAGTATTTGGTCTGAGGCTAGATTTGAACTCAGGTCTTCCTGACTTCAGGGCTGGTGCTCTATCCACTGTGCCACCTAGCTGCCCCTCTATTTTCTTCTAATCTTGGTTGCATTGGCTTTGCTTGTGCAAAAACTTTTCAATTCAACGTAATCAAAATTATCCATTTTGCATTTTGTAACGTTCTCTATCTCCTGTTTGGTCATGAATTCTTCTGTTCTCTGTAAATCTGATAGGTAAACTATTCCTTGCTCTCTCTACACATATTTTTAAACAAAAGGAAAAAGTGCTTTAGCTATATTAATAGGATCACAGAATTTAGAGCTGGAAAAGACCTTAGATATCACTTGGTCCAAGTCCTTCACCTTACAGATAAAGGAAGCTGAGATCCAGAGATATGAAATGACTTACCTATGGGTCACATGGGTACTAATAAAAGAGCCAGGGATTGCACTCCGGTATCTGACTCCAAGTCCAATATAAAGTCAAGAATTTTAGATCTGGGATGTCCTTAGAGATTACCTAGTACAACCTTGTCCTACTGCAGATCCTGACAACCATGCCAGGGGCAGCTAGATGGCTCAGAGGCTACAGCACTGGGCCTGGAATCAGGAAGACCTGAGTTGAAATCTGGCCTCAGATGCTTACTAGCTCTGTGACCCTGGGCAAGACACTTAACCTCTGTTTGCCATAATCCACTTGGAGAAGGAAATGGCAAACGTCTCCAGAATCCTTGCCAAGAAAACCCCTTGGACAATATGAACCACAGGGTCATAAAGAGTCAGACATTACCAAGTGACTGAATAACAACAAAAAGTACCTTTTCCTGCTACAGATAAGAAAACTGAAGCTCAGAGAAGATATATTTTGCCCAAGTTCATACAGCATTAGCTACAGAGACAAGATTGATACCCAGACTTCCTTTCCTGGTTTCCTAGCCAATGCTATTTCTACAATATCACGTTGCCTCCTAAAACAATAAGGATCAGGCTATTCCTATAATTAATGATAACTATCAATCCAGTAATTACTATCCCATTAAACTTTGCTTTCTGATCACAGATGCCTTGGAAACTATAGCTCCCTCAAAGATGCATGTAAAGCCCATGAAATCAAGGTCTTATGTAAACTTTGTATCCCTTCCAGTAGTACCATGCTCTGCACTCTCTATTAGCTTAATAAATATTTGGTGAAAGAATTAAAACAAATAAATGCTAGCTTTCCTTATATAACCTTCTCTTTAAGTGCATTGTAGAGATTCCTAGCAATCTTAACCTAAAAAGAATAAGTAAATATTTTATTATAGTGGTAAGAAATCATATTTCAAAGGGTTAGAGGCAGGGTAGTTTCTACATGAACTTACAGGCACCCTCCCGAATACTCAAGTCTTTAAGCCAGGGTTCACTTTATTGTAGATCATAAAAAGACTTAAACTGTCCTGAAGACAGGACCTTGAGTCCAGGGTCTTGCACTTACTATAGTTATATGACCTTGAACATATCACAACCTTTCTGTACTTGCTGTAAAATGGAGTTCATGATGCCTGCAATATCTATTTGTGGTGAGGATAAGATAATGTATACAAACTACTTCGTAATTACAAAGTTCTTCATGTATGGTGGGGTTTGTTTGTGTGTTTGTTTTTTGAAAGGGAAGGGTTCAGATCTGATATTTCAGAAATCTGAGGAATCTTAGTGTAGAAACTACCTTGATCCAATTCGTATGGCCCATTCATCTATAACGTCACCCAAAAGAATTGCCTGTGTCCCTGAGAATTTAAGTGATATAACCAATATCATGTTATAATGTGTCACAGGCAAGATCCGGACCCTGTCATCCCAAGTGCAAGGCCAGCCCTCAATCCACATCACTATTATCACCAAGCTTTATTAAAAATCAACTTTAATGTGTTAGCACTTCACTATTATATGGCATTTCCAAGCTGATTATTCTTAAATATATGATTGAGTTTTAGGAATGAGAAGTAGCCCATAACATCTTGATATAGGCATGGTAAGATGAATCAGTAAAATTTCCATTTTGATTAAACTATGAATAAATCTAGATGTTAAGAGAGAAAAGTACTTCTGGCAAAAACTGAAGTGGGAGTTCTGCAGAATGTAAGTATGGCAAATGATTTTGAGATAGTTGTGGATACAAGCACCATGACTTTAGAATCTATACTGGTAGTTTCTGTGTCCTTTCCCCATGAGTACAAAGTTAAGAAAGAAAATAAAATCAGCAGTAAAAAAAAAAAAGTACATATTTGCAAGATGCTTTATGGTTTGTTTCCTCTAGTGGCATTTCTGCATAATCGTGATGGACACTGAGGATCTTCAAGAATACTTGCCATCATCATAGAGGCTATCCAGTACAGAATCTGAATGGAAGAGATGTTCCCTATCAATGGTAAGGTCCACCAGATATTCCTATTTGTGCTTACATGATGCTGATTATATCAAGGCTTAGAAAATGGCAAAGCCTCCTAAAGGAGATTAATAGTTACTCAAAAGAATCCAGGCTAACCACCCACACTGGGAAAACCAGGTAAAGGAAGAATTTCTAGTACCCAGATTATCATAAGAGGACCACTCAGAGAGTTGGCCCATCACTATATATATCTTGGACATGACACTGTACATCACTAATTAACAATCCAAAATTGAATGGGAGGAAAGTGGGCTAGATTGCCTTTGTGAAATTGTGCTATGATCTTAATCATCCCTAATTTCTTCCTGGAAAAAAGGCATATCACCATATGCTTCTGGTTGTGTCATGTAGTTTCAAGTAATGGAATGTTCCAATCTCCAAAGAAGTTGAGGATCACAACAAGGGTAATATAAAGGTAAATGGTGGCTATGAGGAAGCAGTGACATATTCCCAACTGAGAATTTCAGAGAATAGTGGCATAAAGGATGTTATGAGAGACATACGTGATTGAAAAGATGCTTTGGTTATACATTGAGATCGAGGGACAAACTGAGGATAGTGAGCATACTCCAGTGGTAACCAGACAGTGTCGAGAGATCTATAGGAAGACCTAGACCCACAGAGCCCCGTGCAGAGCTTTTATGGTAGAACATGGAAAGGTCACATAAGATGGGACAGTATGAATGAATTGCAAAGTGGACCATTGAGGGAATACGGTTATCCCTTCCACATTGTGACTTTCCCCAACACAGTTATGACATATCATGAGTCAGTATAAGAAATTAAATGGGAATTTGGGGGGGGTGAGTTTTGCAGAAGCTGCAGACAACGCAGAAAAGGTCTGGAAACTCAGAAATGCATAAAATATATTTATAATATTGCATAATATTTTGTCTTTGAATACCATAATAATTCAGATTTTTTCTCTGGTTCGAAGAAAGGGCCAAAAAAGTTATGTAGATTTTAAAAATCACATTGGGGTAGGGGGGATTGAAGCACGCACCTCTAACCCCAGTGATGTGGAAGGGGTAACTGTATTCACATTGGTAAGTTCATAGATAAAATATCAAAGTGAGAGTGTTTGCATCTAATGTTATTTTCCTTATAGTTTACAAAATGCTTTTCTCACAACAGCCCTATGAGGTAGGGATCAATCCTTTCTACTAACCTATAACCATACATTTCATTTTTTTAAAGCTGATCAAACCCTTTAATACATGCCCCTAAGCACTACTTTCTCACTTAACCTCTATCCATCCAGAAGATCAATGAGTCTTTCCACAATGCCCTCCAAAATGTGGGCAAGTCAATTTCTTGCTACAAATTCCCTACTTCTTCATTTCCCCTTGACTTAGCGTCCTATGGGATAGTACCCTGGTTTCTTGGCAGAAATTCTAAAAAATAATCCTGATGGAATTCTTCAATTTGAAGGAGGCTTTGGTCTGGCGTCTTTGGAGAAATGTCAGAGCTGCAGAAACTGTCTACACTCAGGAAGTTTGCCTCATCCCTGTTAGGTTCTCACTTAACCTTAAAAAATTTTAAGCTTAATTACTTCCCTTGGCAGGTTTCACAATTCAGTAGATTTTACCTACAGGAAAAAACATTTTTGTTAAAACTGTTTTCTTCCTTTTCTTAATTTTAGCCCATTATCCTAAGATATACTGTAAAATCTATCCCATCCATGAGCCCCCTCACTGTGAATTATCACAATTTACAACAGCAGCCCCTGAAACAAATACAATGAAATTAATGCATGGATACCAGAAAGTGTGTCATCACCTGGCCCCTTTGTCCCTTTTGGCAATTAAAATGTCCAATTTCAGTATTTCTTATAATACTGTTTGATGTATGGATATCAGAAAATGCACTCTTCCCCTCCCTCCTTTGTACTTTCTGGCAATGAAAATATTCAATTTCGGTATTTCCTAATATACTATTTTATGTATGGATATCAGAAAATGCATTATGGCTCTCCTCACTTTGCCATTTTGACTATGAAAATATTCAATTTCAATATTTCTTAATATGCCAATTAATTGACTAGGGAACATTCATCAACAATATTTCCTATTTCCTATTAGGAAACTGCTGTATTGTAAAACCTTTGTAAGGATGCCAGTATTTGGGGAGTGTTTCTAAGTTAGAAATGCACTACTATACTTCCACACATGCCATGATGAATAATTTTCCTTTCTTGTTGGCATTTATACCTATCAACTTTTTGTCAACGTTCCTGGTCAGTCATCATTTAACCAAACTACACTGTGCATTATCAAATGCTTTTGCCCTCTCCTCATAAATCATCTCCTTCTGCCCCTTAATTATTCTTGTCACTCTCCTTTGAACTCCTTCCAGAATGTCCTGTGTGTTGGCTCCTCACCACCCACCCTTGGATAATAAGGTGTCCAGTCTTGAATGCAATATTTCTGAATGCCAGTGAATGAAACTACAGTACATTTGGGCAGCCTGCCTCAGGCATATGCAGCCTGAAGGGAGAAATAGGATGGTGTAGCAGAAACAGCATTGAATTATAAATTAGGAAACCTGGGTTCTAGTAAGAACCCCTCCCTAACTACCTATTTATGTCATTTTGGGTGAGTCAATTAAATTCCTTCAGATATAAGGGTTCTCAGTAGGGGAAGGTGGGGAAAAGTTAGAAGTAGGTGATCTGCACCCTCCCCCTAGCTCTAGTCCTTATACATCTTCTGCCTCTGAGGAATAATAATTAATTTAAGAGATAAAATTATTAACTAATAGGTCTAAAGAAAAGAAGTAATTGAAATAATGTTTTGAAAAACAGTAGAATACAAAAGATACAAGAAAACCCAAAGATGCTTATGTCACAACACATCTTTATAGTTATATCTATTTAAAAAGTTAGAGAACCCATTGCTAGGCAAATACCCCAAGAAGGTCAAGAGTACAAAGAAAAGTTCCAAATAAACCCAAAATATTGATAGTAGCACTTTTTGTAGTGGCGAAGAGCTGTAACCACATGTGATGCCTATCAACTAGGGAGTGGCTAAACACATTGTGGGACATCAATGATAACAGTGAGGAACAGGGAATAGGAGGAATACAGGAAAAACATGGAAGACATTCGAACTGATGCCAAGTAAAGTAAGCAGAAACAGGAAAACAATACATAGGATAACTACAATTAGATGGAAATAGTAACAAAACAATGCTGTATAATTATAATAACCAAGCTTTACCCCAAAGGAAAATGAGGAAAGGTATTGCTCTCTTTTTTTTTTTCAGGGGTAGAGTACTATGGGCATGGAACATTATATTAACTGTCAGTGTTGGTTGATATGTTACTTAGCGTTGTTGAACTGTTTTTTCCCCCTCTCCTTTTTATTCTTTGCATGGTACTACGGCAGGGGATAGAACAGAAATGCTTTTGGAGATATATATGTGTGTGTGTGTGTGTGTGTGTATGTATATGTGTGTATATATATATATATATATATAAATGAACAAAAGATATCAATTTTTTTTTCAAAAGCAGTTTAATTTACTATCTCATTTTATCCTTATGATAACACTGAGAGGATAGCTAAGGCAGGTATTAATATTTCCATCTTCAAATGAAGTAGCTAAGGGCAGCTCAGTGGTGCAGTGGATAGAGCACTGGCCTTGAAGTCAGGATGACTGAGTTCAAATCCAGCCTCAGACACATAACACTAGCTGTGTGACCCTGGGCAAGTCACTTAACCCCATTGCCTAGCCAAAAAAAAAACCATGAAGTAGATGCTGCATAGAGAGGTTAAGTGACTTTCTAGTTAGTGGCATTTATTATTCAGAACATAGCCCAGTGCCCCTATGGTTCCCAGATTATATAAACCTAGATTTTCAAAGCTTATGGATGTATCAAATTTCAACTCTAGCACACTCTATCTGTCCTTCTCCCTATTTCCTGCTCCTTTCCCTCCCCTGCCCTCCCTTCCCCTCTTTTCCCTTTTGCTCTCCCTCCCTTCCTCCTCCTCTTTCTCCATCTCTCTCCTCCTCATCTCTCTCCTTTTCTCTTTTTTATCCTTCCTTTTTCTCTTTCTCTCTCTCGCTCCTTTTCTCTCTCCTTTTTTCTATTCCCTTTTTCTTCTTTCCTCCTCCTCCTCCTCCCTCCTCCCCCTTCCGCCTCCTCCTCCTCCTCCTTCTTCTCCTCCTCCTTCTCCTTCTCCTTCTCCTTGTCCTTCTCCTTCTCCTTCTTCTCCTTCTCCTTCTCCTTCTCCTTCTCCTTCTCCTTCTCCTTCTCCTTCTCCTTCTTCTTCTTCTTCTTCTTCTTCTTCTTCTTCTTCTTCTTCTTCTTCTTCTTCTTCTTCTTCTTCTTCTCTTCTTCTCCTCCTCCTCCTCCTCCTCCTTCTCCCAATGAAAGAACAGTTAAGTGACTGCAAATTCTAACAATATCCATTTCACTGAATAATTGAAATTAGAGTTCACTGCCACAAGTTAGTACCCAGGCTTCCTCTGTTCTCACAACCCACTGACCTCATAAAATATTTTTCCAGTCCACTAGTTAACAATATTCTTAATTACATAAAACCATTTACCTTAAATTTATCGATTTATTTTCCAGGGAGTGTGCTGGCAAATGTTTAACAATTGGCTTTCAGAAAAGGACATGCTTTTACCTTTATTCTATATTATTAATATTTTCTCCATCAGTTTCTTAAGTTTATACAATCAACAAAACAATCACTCAAGCCCTGATTTGCAGAAGTTGCTGATTTTCAAAGTGTAAATGCTCACACTGAAAATTTAGCAATCAGCCTGGTCCCAGCTAACTCCAGCTCACTGCAGGTTTTGCTACAACAGACCCTTCCCATCAAACACCAACACAAAGACTAATGGCTGTAAAGTCTGGAACACAAAGGACCTGGGTTCAAATCTTACCTCTAATTTTTACTAATGATGTGAGTTGGAGCAATTTATTCCATCTTTCTGGGACTCAGTTTTCTCATCTGTAAAATCAAGGAATT